AATGGGTGAAATGAGAACATAATGCATCTCCTACGGCACTACCACATAGGGCTAATGCATTGTTAGTGGCTTTACACTGTACTTCTATTGGCACAAATACTGTCCGCAGACATTGGCAGTTCTAGACTGTATCAATGGGGTGGCAATTGGGGGCCCAAGCCACTTCCGGGGGCCATAAACTCAAAAACATGTGTAACTATGAAAATTGGCCCAGAAAACAAGATTAAGTCTTATTGCATTTCTGCGACGGATAACTCAACAGAGGCACATTTTGTCAAGTCCTTCATTATACTTCTTTTCATTTTGCAGTTATTTCCAATTAAATATGACCACTTCACTCTTTAAAATCCCACTGGTTTTAAATAAATCTCCAGTGTCATAATTGTTGTCCCTTGAAAAAATCAGAGCAAATTACATAACTAGGGGCAAGTCTGACAGCAGGAAGTTGGTTCTCTCTCTTTAGTTTGCCCACATTCAGCAGCTAAGACTTTAAGTAAAACATTACTATATTGTGATGAAACTGGCAAAGATCTTGCTTTTAAAATCACGGTCGATAACAGCGAGAAATAATATAGAAATAATATAGAACACCCGCTCTCGTTTACTCAGCTACATCCATGCTGGGATTCCAGGAATGAACATAAAAGAGACCTGGTGGTGGTAGAGTCTATGGTTGAGAAAGTACACGTTTCTAAAATACCCAGGACAGTTCTAAAATTTCCCAAAAATAGCCTTAAAATTTGTGTTTTGATTTTTTTCTTTTCCTCTGTCACCATTCTGTTGTGTGGGCGTGGATTTTTTAGAACCACTTCATTTCCAGCCCATGTATCAGTAGTCCAGTTCTTAGTTCTTACCTTCAGGTTTGGCGCAGGCTGAAATTGCCTCACATTAACTCAACCCTACATGCTTCAGCATAAAGAAGCAAGAGTGGATGATTCTGCTAATTTTCTTTTCAATCCCTTACCAAGTAGTATCAATACAGTGACTAGTCCTGATACCAATAATACCTGTACTTTTGAAAGGGGCAATTCTTTGTGATTTCTACAGTAAAAAACTGTAAACCAGGGTTGATTCCAATTTGATCCAGAAGTGTTTTTAAAAGGAAAGAAGCCTGAGGTTGTGCATGAGTTGAAGTATCTAGGGATTCACTTTTAAAAAGCATGCAAAAAGTATGCAAAGGAAGTTGTAAATGTAGTCAAATTTAATTTGACTTATTTTAGATTTATTAGAGACAGTTTGGCAACAAAGGAGGCATAACTGTTTATGGATGCTATGGTCATTCCTTACATTACTTGCTGTCAAACATGTAAGACTACTGTTAAGCGGACTGAGACAGTATTTAAACAAGCTTTGTAAGTCTTAGATATAAAGTCAAACTGACCTCAACATTGTAATATTTTAGTGAAGTACATTTATGTATGTTTGAAGTGGGGAAAATTTGGTTAAATTCTCAAAAACAATATTCATTTTTTAAATCCTAAATGGTCTCAAAGGGTCACAAAAAGGTTGAAAAGGGCCATTACAAGAGGTGACTATAATACCACTAAGGAAAAGTGTTTTTATTCAATATGCATTTTCTTTTTGAGCATCACATGACTGGTAGTCTCTTCCCTCTGACTTAAGAAGCTTGACAACCTTTGGTCTTTTTGCAAAACAGTCAAAAATGGCTACTGGACACTTAAATCTGTAAACATACTGACTGATTATATTACATATTTTGCAAGCTGGTTGTTTATTTGTTTGTGTCTTATTTGTGTTTGTCTTATGAGTTTAGTTCATTGTGTCTTGTAATTCAACATTTTTAAATGTTGCCTTTAATATTTAATATTTATTTTAATATTAACATCAACCTGCCCAGGACCTGCAGACAACAATTAGCCATCTAGCTAACATTATCATGGTGTTGATTAATGTATATTGGGCCTGTTAAATAAACAACGAGTAAAAAAGGAAAGTAAGTAAATTGTACAGAAAAAATTCTGTTTAAAAACATTTGTATTAGTATTAAATAAACGGATATATAAACTGCATGTTTAGGCAAATAACTCAAATGATCTGTTAATATAGAGCCTTCACTGCATCTTGTGTAGCTGTCTGTGTCTCTGAGTGTGAGAAGCAGAGGGAGAGGGCAGAAGGAAAAGTAGCTCCTACACATTTATTTGCTATGATCTTTTTTATGCTTTCACCATCAGTATAATAATACTGATGTATATTCAGTTCTCTGCTTAAAGAAAACACTTAGCATTTAATAATCCTCCTGTTGTCATGTAAGGATTGAGCTGAATACATCTGACTGAATACATGCTGGACACTCACCATGCTATGGCACAATGGACGCTCGGCATGCTGGCCGAGACTGACCATATTCCCTGCTGAAAAAACAGCACACACCTGCATGAATGCTGGTTTATGCTGGTTTAAACTGGTGGTTTAGCTGGTCCCCCAGCATGGCCATGATGGTTGACCAGCATACCAACATCCAAAACATAACGTGCTGGTTTTGGTGGTGACCAGCATACCACCTTCCATTGCTGTTGTCCAGCATTACCAGCATCCAAAACACAACATGCTGGTTTTTCTAGCAGGGCTCCTTCTTGCATCCCAGAGCTGAGCATTTGGAAGTGCTTCATTTCGTACTAACAACGTGAAGCAGAGTGGTGTAAGGGAGGGTAAGATGATTCCACAGTTGATGAATATACAGTGTAAGATAGTCAAGTAGTGATGCGTATGACGTCAAAGATCACAACAAATAAAGTGTAATTCCAAAACAGTGGTTAGGGGGCAGTGTAACAATGTTTTAAACTCCGGAGGTCATTAGGCACTCCTCGCTGCACTATAAATCTGAACAGAGGAATTCTTGTTGATCTACAGTGAAAACCAGTAAAAATATAGACATTAAGAATGACCTTTGAAAGCCTTTGCATTAATGCTAAATATACACATGAACTGGCTGTTTAACACTCCCATTATACAGCATTCACTGCATCTCATTGCAGTCTGTGTCTGTGAGTGTGAGAAGCAGAGTGAGATCACAGCAGAAAAAGTAGTTCCCGACCTACACGCTTATTTGCATAATAATACTGTTCTTTAATACTACTGACTACAGCTTACTGCTTAAAGAAAACACTTATTACTGATGTTGTCAAAAAATGACTCCCAAAAAGAAACACCAGGATCGGTGGTCCTGGAGACCTCCCTCCTTGCGGAGTCTAGTTCCAACCACAATCTGCTGCACCCCGCTCCAGCTAATTAACTTCTTCAGAAGTCCTTGAATGGTAGGAAGGAAGGGCAGCATGCTAGATGCAATTCAAAGCTTAAGTCTGCAGGAAAGTGGATCTTAAGGACCTGGTTCGGTGATCACTGCTGTACCATTTAAGATGGGATGGAAGAGCTCGTATCTCTCCTGTTTCGAAAGAACTGCACTTTCAAAACAGGAGTGATTTTAAAGTTCTGTTACCAGTTTTTAAAGCTCTGTCTGTTTATATTCCAGCATGTGATTTTAGACCTGCAGATACTGACCTTCTGCCAATCCCTCCTGTAAAATACAGAAAACATGGAGAGGTCTCGTTCAGTTATTCTGTTTAACTTTAACGTTTAATTATAACTGTCTCTTGGGTATTTATCTTTTTAATATGATTTTAAATTGTCATATTTTCTTCTTTCACTATCAGGCTTTATCACCCGTCTGTAAAGCACTTTGGACTGCCCCCGGCATGAAACATGCTCCAAGATAAATCTGACATCAGTACCGTCTTAATCTAGGCACAGTTTCCCAATAGCATCTTATAATTAAGATAATCCTAACTGTTAGAGAGATTGTGACGCTCACCCTACCGTTTATGAACCATCATCATGCCAGGATGGGAAAGATCATGAAACCTAGCCCAGGATGGTCTTTCACAAAGCAGGATTTCTCAGTTTAGCCAGATAACTTAAGCCCAAAGTCAAGGCTGTCCAACAGGAAAAGAGCTGAGAGACCTTCTTATTGGACAATCCTCATCTTTGGGCTCAAGTTATCTGGCTAACTGAGAAATCCTGCTTTGTAAAAATACCCCCTAGAACAGTTGTGCGTATATGAAACTTACCTATTATGTGTCAAATGCACTTACTTACAATGCTTACAATGATCACATTACTTAATTTATAAACAGTGCAAAACCACTGACTAGTTTTAAAGCGGCAAATAACATCCACATAAATGCCCAAATAAAATACTACGAATAATTACATTGTTAAGATGGAAAGACATTCAGAGTGATTTGGTGTGAAATGCACCGTTCTAGAGAAACTTCAGCATCAGAACTGTTGACACTGGTGATATGAATCAGATGTCTTAAGTGTTTAAAGCCTCTAAAAGCTACATCACAGAAACAAATACATTGGTTACAAGTACAATGGTTACAAACACGTTCCCTGAAGCCCGAGACATCTTATTATGGAAGTTTTGATAAAAGGTTTTGGCATAAAGATGTTTTTAAAAATGTATGTGCTGGAAAGGTACATCCACAGTGCTTTAAGGTAAAATCGTCCTCATAGAAAACCTAGTATTTTTAAATTTACCACTATTTCACCATTACGAACATTACATATAAAACTCAGACGAGTGGGTGCACTGATAGTATTACACAGCAAATAAAAGTTATATTTGTCTTGTAGACACTGTAACCCCTGGTTCTTATCACCACCACTGTAAAGGAATCTGAGTCTGTAAGTCTCTCCACAATTAACCACTTCACATCAAACCACTCTGAATGACTTTGTTTACATTTCAATGACTGAATTATAAAAAAAAACAATTAAAAATTAATAAGTAATACATTTGGGGAAAAAAACACATCAGCACAATCACCTCCAAGTAAAACCATAATGCCGGCACCAGACAGCAGTAAACTTGTCCGGTGGTGACAGCAATAATCTTCCATTCTTAAATTACAATGTAAGCTTTCTTGGTAGCAACTGAGAAAATACACTCAGTAACGAAGGGCAAACGGACAGACGAGTGTTTTCAGGCTAACCTACACTTTATTCAATGCAAATTACAGTACCGGGTAACTACTTCTCTGAACCATTTTACACAGAAGAACAGAACGGTATTTACAGGGAGAGACATTTAGCATAACCATCACAGGAGGGAAAACAAACAGATCTGTTTGGATGAAATTATATTATATATATTTATATATATGTATATAGATATATGTATATAAAAAAAAAATTTAGTCAACAGGCATTCAAGTAATAGCAATGTCATAGTCGTTTTGTCTGTAGTTATAAAGTCTCTTATGACTGCCAACAGCTATACACAAGTTTATGTCCGAATACGCAGCAACCATTTTTTCCTTTATTTATATATATTTTTTTCCTTTTTAAAGCATTTTTCATTCAACCTGCGTGACTGACAGGTTATGATCTTCGCTGAAACGTCACTATAAATGTAATCTCCGTTTCGCAGTCGTTTAGGAAGCGACATCTTTATGGCTGTAGATTTTACAGGCAGAAAGCATTTACATACGCTTACATGTGTTATTATTATTATTATTATTCTTTTAATTATGTACTTAGTGCTACATGACATCTCTCCCTTTGAGTGCTGCTGAAAGCGTATGTTACAGCTTTGTAGACATAGAAAAAAAAAATCATCCACTTGTGTAATACTTATTGCCATAGTTGATCAGGTAATACTGCAGAGCATGACATCATTTTATATCCCTTTCTTAACGGTTGGAGGATAAAAAAAAACACAAACACAAAAATAACTGCAATAACAGCTACTTTAAAACTCCCTAAACAAGTACACCCTTAAAACAGAGACATTTTCAATTATGGCTAAAAGGATGAAGCTAACAGACTCAAAATGTCAAACTCCACGCCATGAAGTCTCTCATTATAAGTAAAACTACAGCGAGGGGAAAGGGGATGATAACATAAGAGCACCATCGGAGGGGTTAAAAAAACAAAACAATGCCCAACTCTGCTTCCTTCTGTTAATAGTCTAGCCAGCGGATTAGTCTGTACATCAATTCATAGTGAGTGGCACGAGGATGGAGAGAGCAAGATCTGATTCTAGATTTGAATTCTCTGAACTGAATTATTAATAAACTGTTAGAAGACATCATTAAAGGCTGCCTGTGCCAACAACAGGCCATGTATTTTAACAAACAACTCTTTTAAGGCAGGGTTTTAACATATTAAACATATATATTAGTCCAGGATCAGGTTTTGCCCTTTTACATCCTGATAAATACAATTAAACAGACCAGGAGTGTCCAGCTCTGGTCTTTGAAGGTCTTGGTCCAGCACAGTTTGGAGATTTTCCTGCTCAAACACATATACAACTGCAAACAACTTGCATCAGGTTTGTTTGTTATTATCCTTATACTGTTCCTACAGGGGGAAATTGGCAATTTTGTTGTCTAACTACATCCAGTCTGAGAGCAGCACCGTGTCAACAGCACAGTAGCACTGTCTGGGTCAGTAGAGGACTACATGCCTTGACCAAGGGCACAAACAAGTATATCAAGTCAGTCCTGGGATTACAACCTACTTTCCAGTTGCTGACTTACCTCTCCTATCACTGAGCTACTGGACACCCCAAGCCTTCGAGCAGGCAAACCAAAAAAATTGTGCTGGACTGAAGTCCTCCAGGAACAGAGCTGGATCTGGAATAGACCAAAAGGTGTGTATTAACTAAGATTCCAGCCAATTCTGGGCTCAGCCAGGTGCAGTGAGTTGAGCTGCAATTCCTTTGCCCTAAACAAATCCAGACAGCTTGCTATTAAAAAAAATCCAGAACCACAGCACCCCACAACGCCCCTTATTGTAAATACAAGCCCAAAAACACAAACATGGCACAGGCAGCAAGACCAGGACTACAGCCATGTACTAACAGCTAGCAGTGGCTGAAGTGGAAACAAGAGAAGAAGAGCAGCAGCCTTTCAACAGCACTCCAGGGAGGTCCATAAGCTCTGAGGGTCGTCCGTTCTCGCTGACCAGGACCAGCTCAACCAGATCCAAGCAAACTCAACCTTAATCCAAGAAGAGCGCATATAACCAGTCTCAGATCAGCAGCAAATTGGCAAATCTGTTTTTGATGCTGTCTATTTGGCGTTGAGAGAGAACTGGCTTCTTTCAGCAACACAATCTGTTCACCGCCCAGCAATGGCAATTCACAATGATCTCTTAATGCTATTTTGAAAGGAATATCCCCCCTGCACCTTCAGCCTTTATGAGTCTCATAAGGGAGAACATAAAACAGGTCAAAGATCAGTGGGAAAGGTGGAGTTCTACAAAGACCAGGACAGAGAAACAGAATCCGTGGAAGCAAAGGCACTCCGAAACTATTACATAAACTGCATGGCTCTGCTGGCCTTTTTGGACTCTATGGCTGGGGAGGAAACTTATATACAGCTTGAGATTAAGTTGATTAGGTTCAGCCCTGATCTTCGCTTTTAAACTTTGTTCCTCGTCATTTTTTTTTCCCTCCTGACAGACACCTTGAGTGGTCTGTGTGTTTTGAATACAGTAGACATACAGCATGCGTGCTCATGCACGCACATACACACAAATACAAAATGAACCAGGATTTGGTGTATGCACAGTCAGCACATACGTACAGTTCAGTGAAGCATTTCAGGGTGACTGTACACAGTAAACGAAGGGAAGACTAGCATGTGGAGGAGGGAAAGGTGAAAACAGAGGTATACTCCTTCAAACATGTTTAAAAAAAAAACAAAGAATAAAGAATGAATAAAGCAGCATACCATTGAAGCAAAGAGTACAACACATCAACCCAACACAGAAGTGAAAAGGCAACGTTATGGACAAGGTGTTTCACAGGAAACCAATATACAGTTCACAAAGCCTTGGAAATCTGCTCCCGCCCACTTTAACGATGTCGCAGGTGGAAATAGCCCTTATAAACTGATCTGGGATCAGAAAACCCAACTCAGATCATAACCTTAACCATTATGAGAAAAAACTGCTAGAACTGTTGATATATGCATAAAGCATATTTCATCTGGGATCAGTTTTTGCCCTTATGATCCTAATGAACTTGTGGAAACGATCCTAGTTCAGCACATTTACTCTAAGATGCGTCAGTTCAGCTCTACTGTACTGACCATCGACACCATCATTTCTGCCCAGGACCACACACAGGCAGACACTCATACTTTGTTCTCTTGGGTCCTGCATCAAAGGGCAAGGGTCACAAGGTAGGGGCTAAGGTGAAGAAATCCACATTCACTATAATCACTAGAAGGGCGGCAACGAAGGCTACTGTGAACCAATTACCCTTTTAAAAAAATAAGAATCAAAGGAGACACACAAAAAGCATATTTGTCGCTCTATATAATCTGTATCTCTATATAAGCAGACATATATATTATCATCAAACTTCTCCACAGTCAATTCCTCTTGTCCCCGAGCCAAGAACTGACGAGAGGCTTTTAAAGATATCCTTGTTGTCCTTTTGTATAAATAAATAAAAAAACAACAATAAAAATAAACAATGGTGAAGGTTGAGGGGAGAGGAAGTTACAAAGTTCAGTTGGTTTGTCCGTGTCTCATCATGAGTTGTTTTTTTTTTTTCTTTCTTTCGCTCTTTCTTTCGTTCTTTCTTTATTTCTTTTTTAGCAGCCACGCCGCAGACTTGAGGGGAGTGGGCGTGGTTAATGAGCAGCATCATGGGGTTCGCCTGTTGAGAGGTGGGTGGGGCTCAAGTCGAAGGGTTGGGGGCGGAGGCAGAGGCAGCATTGGTGGTTGGGCCGCGTTCACCACTACTAGCATCTGAGAGAAAAAGAGAGACAGCAAACAGTTATATAAAGTTCTGACACGGCTATAATCAATGGATTTATAAACACATATGGTAAGAGAATGCAAGTTGGCACTAACCTGCAGTAGAAGAGGCGTTACAGGGAGGAGTGGCTCCAGCCTGGTTGCGGGCGTGTGCAGGGATGAGTATGGACGCCAGCGATGGGTTACTAGACAACTCTAAAAAGCAACAACAACAACAATCCTTATTAAACACTCGATTTTAACAACAAATATATTAATGTATTCATTTTTAAACAGGAATTGTTGACTGATAAAATCAATCGACAAAATAATATTGCAAAATGTGACACTAAATTGTGGAATATTCACATTTTTTTTTGCATCAGTACTATATATACCCAATGCAACATGATTTTTTGGGAATTTTGATGTGTTTACTGTGTCACACAAAACACACACAACAACATCCAAACGGCAGAATTCCTTGGAGTTTGGAGTTAGTGCAGGTCATTATGTGAAATACTGAATCAAAATCATTTTACTCAGAGTCTTTCATGGCTGCTTTTTTAATGTGGCACTACCAGTGTATTGGGTCTGTGTCAGAATATCATGATGCACGTTATACAATGTGTGTCATTGTTCAGTATTTTGATGATATTTTGCCATATTTTGCACTGTAGTGTGCAAGATATCAGTTATACAGTTTTTTGCTTTAATTCACTGGCGTGAATAAATCACACTCCATATGTAACGGCCTTTAGCTTGTATAAATTGTTAGCTACATTAGCCTCGTAGCTCGTTAGCAAAACTAAAGAAGTAAACTTCAGACACCAAACATGTCTTGGCTGATCGACTAATATTTAGAGTAAAAGGAAAAATTAAAGTACTCAGTTTGCACTTTTTAACAGAAAGTCATCAAAAACAAAATAAACATACATCTTGGAGCTTTTAAAAAACTAAAAATGTGTTGACTATTTTTGGACTTTTGTGCACACCTTGTGTGGTAAAGTTGAAGAGTGGTGGTCTCTCTCGGCCATTGGGGAGTTTGAGGGTTGGTACACGCAGCTCATCGAAGAAAGCGTGGGCGCAGGCCTCCAGAGGGGTAAGTCGCGCTGTAGGTGTGTATTCCAGCAATCGAGAACACAGAGCAATCGCCTCCGGAGGGGTCTTCGGCCGAAACACCTAACACACCATGCAAGAGTGTAGTCAGGAAATTCAATATTATGGACACACCTGGCACACTGCAGCTGTATTGATCATGGCCCCTTTTTTTTTAATCCAATCAGTAGAAGAACTTGCAACAAATGTTTAATCACTAGTACCAACACAAGATCCACTGAATTTTCCACCAACATCTTTTTATACCATGCAGTTTGAACAATGTAAAAAATACTCTAAAGCTAAAATATATTTCAGTTATATACAAAATTTATACAAAAAATACACTGCCATCTAGTTAAAGCCTACACAGTACATGCAATAAACCTGTCCAGCAGTGCCGGTAAGTTCCCTCAGATTTGGGAAATGGTTGTCATTAACTACAAGTTTAAAAAGCTAGAGCATCTGACCAAGTCTGTGATTACAGATCCACATCAATTCTTCCCGTTATCTCCAAAGTCCTGGAAAAACTAGTTGATGCAGTACCTTGAAAACAATCCGAGTTCTACATCCAAAACAATCTGGATTTAGGCCAAAGCATTCAACAGAAATGGCTGCACATTATATTACTGAAACTATTAAAGGTTCATTAACAGAAGGTAAAGCAAAGTACAGTAGGTGAAGCAGTATATGTTGATCCCAACAATGTGTTCAATAGTGCAAATCATGAACAACCTTTGGTCAGTCATCTTTCACATTTCCAGGCATACAGCAATGAAATGCACTGCCATTAGACATTAAAACACATCAAAACACAAAAGGGATTTAGAGTCTTTGCATCAAAGTAAAACACTGGTTTAAACAATTTGCCTCTTCAAACATAACTGATCAGTATACATTACATTACATGTGCTGCATTTTATGCAACAATATTTATTTGTATTGACCCTACCCAAAAAAATAAAAAAGAATGCAAACTGCATTGTAACCACATGGCCACAAGGGGGTGCTGTGAAATCTCCAACACAAGCCTGACGTTAGGATTCAGTGCTAGCAAAGACACCAAACAGTCAAAAACAAGTTTAAGTGCGTGTACAAGAGAGAAAGAAAGAACAAGAACCAGATGTATTTTGCTGCAGCGGCTGACTCACCTTAGTCCACGGGTGGGCTTTAATTTGAGGAAACTTGAACTCAGTGTAGTTGGGGTTCATCTCACGAATCTGCTCGCGTGTGGGAGTCCCCAACACCTGCAGAGAAAGGTACTTTCAGAAACTGCTCAATGATCAAACGTCTCTGATTCTATCTTAGCTCATCATCTAGAAATCAAACGCCTCTGACGACTGACTACAATCATCAGGTTTTAATTAGCGGATTCCTTCTTCCTGTAAGACCTCAGATGTGGAATACATACTTTTACGCTGTTTTCCACTAGTTTTAGGTAGGTTTGCCCTCAACAGAACTTATGGGTGAGAGATGCCTTCAAAAATAACAGTGCAGCAAATAAAATCTAATTCATACAATATGATATTTGGTTGTGTATAAAAAGGGCTCAAAGGACAAACAAAATTCAGGTTTCAAAATGGATGCTACTACTGTTTTGTAGTTTCATGAAATCTCAATGATTTAGTCTCAATGTATCTGGACCTTTTTGTAGAAAACAGTATGTTATACAGTGTCAGAAACCACTTGCCTTTAAGTAAAGTCCAATAAACCAGCACGTAATAATTTAGACACGCAGTCTGCATGTTGATTAACGGTAAAATATAAACTTCCATTTTTTTCCCCAGATAGTTATTATACCCTGATTCACATCCACACCACTATACGACATGATTTCATTCCCATATACACTACCTGTTTGCACTACCACACACTTATGTATACTGCTGGTCCCTACATCTGCTTGTTGCTTGTATATTGTGTAATAGTAAATAATATGTACATTGTCTGTAAACTACTTGTCCTTATACATATATTGCTTGTATACTGAGTATACTGTATATTATGTATTGTCTGCAAATTATATGTACATTGTATGCATAACACTAGAGAGACAACAGCAGCTGGAGCCAAATACCTTGTGTTTCAACATACTTGGACGATAAATCTGATTCTGATTACTTGATATCTACATAAGCCACATAGCTCTAGAGCAAAACTAAAGAAGGAACCTTTGGATACCAAAGATGCCAAACTATTCCTTTAACCATATTACCTATCCATGTCTAACTGTGACGAAGGCATATGCGGAAAATGTCACTAAGCAACACAGATGCACACGAAACCAACCTTGATGATCTCGACTAGTTGGTCCACCCCACTGTCCCCTGGGAAGATGGGCTGGCCCAGCAGAAGCTCCGCTAGCACACAACCAGCTGACCACACATCTAAGGAGCAGAGACACAAAGAACTGTGAGGCAGAGGTCCACACACCCATGTCTTTAGGTAAGATGGTGGATGAATGAATAAATGAGTTACCTATGCTGGTGGTGTAGTCTGTGGCTCCAAAGATGAGCTCAGGGGCTCGGTAATAACGAGAGCAGATGTAGGAGACGTTGGGCTCACCACGCACCAGCTGCTTAGCACTGCAGGAGGGAAGAAGGGAGTCAAATAGTGTACGTGAAAGAGACCTCTGAGAGACAATTATCCTTTAGCATCATCACAATGATAAAAATGATGCTTTTTTTCATTACACTGCTGAGTTGAGGCTGCTGCAGGCCTGACTTACTATGGATCTTAAAGCAATTAGCAACTTGAGGCTGTGCTAAAGTGATTTTACCATGGTTAAATGTCTGCTGTTAGGCACAGGTTTGACACAAACACATTATGATGAAACACAAATATTCAATGAACTACTGCAAAACTTAAAAAAAAAAACATCCCACCAAGAAATGTAGTTTGTTTACAGTACGCCAGTAGTAACAAAATAATAAAACACTCTCTCATGAAAAGTATAATGGATTTAATAACGATGCATATGATACAGAATTTAATTATTGTGTTGGTTTATTTGTGGTTATTAAGCATTTTACAATGCAAAGGCTTTGAATGTGGCTCAGTGTATCAAATTTTAGAACTATTGTTTTCATAAAGCAATACTGCAAGCTACGTTCCCCTCTCCATCGACCCACCTGCCAAAGTCACAGAGCTTGAGCACAGCTGTCTCAGGGTCCAGCAACAGGTTCTGGGGCTTGATGTCTCGATGGCAGATCCCAAATGAGTGGATGTACGCCAAGCTCCGGAACAATTGGTACATGTACAGCTAACAGAAAGAGACAAACACACACTGTACACACCAGCTCCAGTTGGGACCAACTACAATCCAATTCATTTGTTTCAATTTTACTCCGGCCCAAGAGACAATGAGCTGAAATTCAGCTTGTAATACACATTCACTCACAAACACTCCAACAGTGCCAACAAACACTCCAACAGTGCCAACAGTATAAGTTAGCCCCACTCTCTCTCTCTTCTCTACTGACCTGAACACTAGCACCACCTTCACTATAATAACTTAACTCTTCTAAATGCCCTGTGGCCCATAGTCAACAACAGAAGATGATTTTATCAAGTTGGCTTGAAAAAGCAAACTTACTGTTTTCCATTTTCCTCTTATTCTTATTCCATGGCCAAAACTTTGCTACACTACTCCACCTACAGCTTTCGAGCTAGAATCATGAAACTCTGCAGAAAGGCAGAGCTCCAGGACTAGGGCTGGTGACCATTACTTTAGAAGGGGTGCAAAGGGCCAGGGTCCAGGACAGACTGCTGATTTGTTCAAACTTACCTGATTCAACTCATCTGTTAACTGCCAGTTGTAATGGGTATGTTGGAATAGGGGAATCACCAAACTGTGCTGGACACAGAACCTCCCTGCCTTACATAGCTTCTTGCTTTAAGATACTAGAGCCCACTAAACAGCTAATTAACCAGCAATCTGAATTGAAATCGGTGTGTTAAAGCAGAGTAAAAGATAAACATCCAGAGCAGGTGGCCTCCAGGAACAGGACAGGACTGCATACCTTCACATAGAGTATGGGAAGGATCTGCTTGGCTCGGCTGTAATGCCTGGAAACTCGGTAGACAGTCTCTGGAACGTAGTCCAGCACCAAGTTCAGGTATACCTCATCTTTCTGCAAGACAGCCAAACAGAAACAAACACGGAAAGGATAAGACAGTTTCTTCAAAGCACAGGGAGATACATCACAGCAAATGTAGAAATTCAAGTTGACTTTAATAAAGGTTAGGACAGTGATTTTACCAAAGAACTGTCTGATAGAGTGAACAGGGATACAATGATTTTACCCAATTATCTCCCCAATTTAGTTGTCTCCAATTCCACCCGCTAGTTAGGACTCTCCCAATCACACAATACTATCAACGCAAGGAGGGTGAAGGCTAACACAAGCTTCCTCCGAGACCGCTGCTTCTTTTCGAACTGCCGCTTGTGCAACATCACTGGACAGCTGAACGCGCTCGGAGGAAAGCGCAATGTAATGGTCAAAGATTATCAGAGCAAAACAATGAGTGCATTTACATGTGCTTAATAATCCGATCATAATTAGATTTCTGCAGTTATTCTTATCAAATGGTCATGTAAGAGCATACTCTGATTTCTTAGATCAGAATAAGGTCTAAAAATCCAAAATTCATAATCCTCAAATGATGAATTCAATAAAGAGAGCTGTATTTGCTCAGTAAACGGATTTCTCAGGACATGTATACTTTTTTTTTCTTACGTTTTTCTCATCTGCACACGCGTGAAAACAGGCCGCGGTACCGGAAATAAGCAAGCAGCGTTTAACACAACACAACAGATGGAAACAAAACTTCAAGAGATGCTGAAACCTACATCAAAGTATCAAAATCTAAAACTTTGGAAGCAATTTTACAGATAAAGTGAGAAAAACTCATTAAAGTCACTCCTGAGCTGTTCAGTGCACACATTCATGCTGCTTGAGCAGAAGCAGATCAACACTGAAAATGTTGGCTGCATAGAACTACTTCACAGTTTCTATGAGGGACATTAGACAAGTGTGAAGTAGCTCCATGCTCAGTAGTTCTTGAGGTGAGTATCAAGGGGAAGTACAACACCCAAGAACTTCATCATTCAACAAAATACTATCTCCCACTCAATATGCAGAATACAGTAAAACAACAGAAGCAGACAGGAAAAGCTCCTGCTAGCATGCAGATGCCACCTGTAGTCACAGTTTTTGAAATGACCCAAGAAAATGGAATTCAGTGCCTTAAATGACCAACCATTGTGTTGGTTGAATGTTGGGTTTTGCTGCACATACTATAGCCTACATACTGTAACAATGTTATTTAGTTTATATTATCTATTTTTATTCATCAGCTCAGTTTTGTCCTATTGAAAACGATAGTTTTAGTCAATAATATTATAATCTTTAGAAAAGATTTAGTCAATAATATTATTTTAGCATTATTTTCTTAGTTTATTATGTGAGATCAGATTTTAGACCTGGAAGGCTCCATTTTACAAAAATTTGAATTGAGAGACATTTTGTATTTTAGGCAGCCTGATTTTCAAACCAGAAACATCCTGAAAGAGGAAATTGGCCACAGATCTTGGTAGAGCTTAAATGTGTGTGCTTCACAGGCAAACACACACACAGGCTTTCCCCACAGACATTACTAATCAACCTCGCAAATCTCAGAACCCTGATTTAACCATCATCTCTATTTCAGACTTCAGGGGTATGACTCATCAGATCGTGAAACTCCTCTGTCACAGTAATGCTCTACCCATGGGGACAGTGTGTGTAGGAGGTGGCTTAGTGTCATTTACTCTCCTTTCTTTAAAAAATCTTTTGCTTTAACTTTACCTTGTGTTCCCTTTTACTGTTTTTTTAGAAAACGCACGCCTGTTGCAGCCCAGCCTCGGAAACAGATCCGCTGAAGATGATGAGTCACTTTCTGCCTCACAACAGCAGCCCCGCAATTATTCGCCTATTGGCTGGATGGTTGGCGTGGGGCAATACGATTGGTTCGCTTATACATTCTGCGCTGAATGATGCCACGTGATTGGCTGCAGAGGCACAGATGCTGTGATTATGGTGATGACGGCTGAGGTGCAGTGTGCTATCCACACAGACACAAGATTAGGTTGTGTGAACGTGTGTGCAAGAAAGAAAAATAAAACCTACATAAGATGAATCGCAGGCAGGCCACATCAGTGAATGAAATTCAAAGACTACACCGGACAACTTTCACTTGGAAGCAAGAGACTTCAACATGTTCCTCTACTGCTCTGTTTTTCATATAGGACTGGCTTCCCAGACCCAGATTAAGCTTAACTCTAGAGTGGGACCTCCCCCTAAACATCTTTTTGCTCCATCAGTATGTGTTGTGAATTGGGATTGAGCAAGAAGGTGGACTAAGGACTGGTTTAGCCCCTTTTACATCAAAAAAGGAAACTGTGATATTTCTACCAGTAATGTTTAGTCTGTTGGATGTTGGATGCAGCCTTTAATCTGTATTTCACAAGAATGCACACCTTCATACATGCCATGAAAACCGTGGTTTTAGGTCTCATGCAGGTAAATTTACACATAGACTTTACTGGAATTTTGACTCCAGGTTGGTGTTCACACTTAATCGCATCCAGTTTGATTTACTGTTAAATTTCCAGGAGAATGTGCATATGCGAAAGGGGCTTTTAAGAAAAACTGACCTACTAACAGGCTTCTCAATGGACATTAAAATTTAGCACTAGTCTTAATCCTGATCCATGCAAACTGCCTCCCAGGACCAGTTTCCGAGACTAGGTCTCAAGCGCAGTGGCAATGGTAATGCACCATTAAAAGTCACATCATTCCAGTACTAACCTTAATCTGGATATGTAAATTCAGCCCTTAGAGTGTTTAATTTCATTTAAATACCCAACTTCTCTCAATGAACCTTCACTCATTAACCTCATCCTAGTGGATAAGCTTTCAAATGTGGTCTATCCAAGGATGGTTACATAACCGAGCTGACCCTGTATCTGGGTCAGGACACACTCCCAACGGTCAGCCATGGCCCCGTTGCTATGGGACAGAATGGACTGCAGACATGACTGAGCATATCTCTTGCTCTCTCTTTCCCTCTCTCTGGGTGAGATGGGTACAGGATCCTGGGTCCCTGATTCTGTGCCAGGTTATGCCCTTCATGCTGCGCCAGACTCCACAATTGTCCACACAGGGAAAGAGAGGTGCGAGACAGAAACACTAGTATAGGGGCTGATCCAGGAACATTCCAGTCCCCTCCTTTTTTTATCTGCACCAGTGACTGAGGTGACATTATCAACAACTTGCACCATAGTTAATGAGCAGCCTAAATGTCTGCAGTGTGAAACCGTTTTTTAAATGGAAAATGAAAACAGCCCAACAGTCAGTCACTCTTAATACATGCACTGTTTTAACACTGGTTAAGCTATTTACCACTCAGTAAAATGCAGTTTAATTAGCTGAACCTAAAACATGAGTGCATGACTATTCAAAAAGCCAGAGAAAACAAACTGAAATTGATCAGTCTGTAGTATGTCAGACAACGCACATACTAAAAATAAAGCGATTTTACTGTAACATTTAATGTATTTGGCAGCCTAGCACGTCATACCTAAAGTGTTTTTTCCCCCTAACACTGAAGGACTTGAAGTGTGTACTGTTGGCTGTATTATTTACAGAAAAAAACAACTAGATACCTGCAAGTTCTCAGAATTAACGGACAAAGCAAAACAACTCTAGCTTAAAAGGGAACCCTTCTTAGTAAAGCTTGTAGACTTCAATAAGGTAAATACCCTTAACTATTAAATGTGTTGTAAAAGATTAACAAAATATTTTATTTACTATAAAAATCCACAGCTTTATTAAAGACATTTCACATATGTGTTTGGCATTATCCTAAACGTGTGATGCAACAAACATCAAATAGTTGCACTGGAGGTAAACTCAAAACCAACACAATGCTACAAGACAATTAGAAAACCACTGTTAAATTTCACAACTTTCCAAATGATAAGCTTTCCAAATTAAACGCTTATATCAGAAGTGATGTGGCATTATCGCCAAGCCAGAACTGCTTCACAACGCTTGTTAATTCTGATTGAAAGCGACCTGCAGCATCTCTGTTGGCATAGGAGAGCAGCTACTGAACTGAAGTTCATTTTGCCCCACTCTCAGATTCATAATTTTAATTTATTTGATGAAGGCCGTCACCAGGGTTTCTTTAATAACATCCCGCTCTGGATTAAACTGAAAAGGCTGAACAGCAGACAAGCTTAGCTAACCAACACTTGCTCAATGGTCAACAGAAAAGGGCCGATTCCAGAACAAACATCTGATGTCACTAGCCAGAGCACAACAACAATGGCTACCAAGGAGCAGCATTTTTATAAGCCAGTGGTTCTCAAACTGTGATAGGCATACGCTGAATGACATTGGGGGATGTTAAAAAAAAATTTTAATAAATAAATAAATAAATAAATAAACCTTCATCTAATTTAACCAGCTAACCGCACAATTATACCAGCACTTTCCTAATACAGACGACTCAAACAGCCTCCAGCACATGGCAAGCTTGTGCTCAGTATTAGTTCAGTATTTTACCTTTTTATTATAAAAGACTGTATTAGAGAGAAAATGTTTCACTCCGGCCCTTTATGAGTGCCATGCGTTTAGGAGAAACTGACAACAGCAGAGTCCATTCAGTTTATCATGTGCTGTTGTGTGCATGAATACAGTGACTACCCTTTACTAACTGCTGTTAAGGTCTGTCTGATCTTTGTTAGCTGTATACTTGTTAGTTTCACTCTTGTAGTTGCAGTTTAGTTTGCAGATGAAGCGAGGTATTAGCATGTCGTTTACGTGTTTGTAGTGCTGCTTAGTGTTTTTAGCACTGTTAAATGCTGAGTGGATGATGCTATCGTGATATACGCAATCAGGGCTCGGGTTAGTGACATTTTGTTGCTAGCTGTTCATTTCACAGCTGTGGACACACTTATGCATCCTCATTGATGATGCAGCCTTCATGGTTAGAAAGTTCACTCCTCTGTCCCTGAGCTCCCTGACCAGAACTCCAGTGACACAGAAAAAGAAAAAAAATTAGGTACTTTGCAGGTACCTTTTTCGTTCATCAAGTACCTTCAAAGGTACAACTGTGGTTTAAAGGTCCAGCTGTGTACCTTAAATAAGTTTTTCCCAGGTATATATATTTATGACCTAATGTTTTAAAACAGAACGATAAAATAAAATGGCAAGAGATAAGAGAGGGTGTGTAGAGTCAATACAGATTAAAAAATATAATGTAATGGTTTATAGTACAATTACAGTCACTAACTAAAGGCACTGAAGATAACCATAAGTGTACCACCCCAGCGAAAAGAGGAAAGAGTTTAGTACCTTTTTTTCTTAGAGGGTGTAATACAATAGGACAATAACAATATATAAATAATTTGAAGTTTTTCTTTTTAAGGTAAACATTAACAAAATGTCTGTTGTACACTGTCACAGAAAAAGGTACTACATAAATAAACTTTTGTTCACCAAGGAACTAAATGTAAATATAAGAAAAGTGGAAATAATGTAACTTTAAAAATATACACTGCACCTGAATATGCTACAACTATGTTCCCTAACTAAAGGTCCATCCCACTGACAGTTCGTGTAGTATCTTTTTTTTTCTAAGAATGTACATCTAGCATGTTGTCATCTCATTGCTGATTTTATAAGTCTAAACATTTTACATAATCCATCATGGCAATATATGTATGTATGTATCGGGAGCAAAAGGGAGTGTGCAGCAGGAAGTTTAAAGCCTGAGAGGGTACAAATAGTAAAAAGTTTGAGAACTACTCGTTTAAGTTCTTTACACCATATTAAGGAAAAACCACTCCCCTCTCCATGAAAAACCTCTTGCTGTCTGTTTTGCAGTCCTTTAAACCGCCTCTCTCCCCCTCTCCCATTTTCGTTCTCAACCATGGTGGTGAAGGAAAAGCCCCAATTGTTAAAGCAAGAATAACTCCTTACCTCACCAGTCTGAGAAACTCTACACCCTTGGTCCTCTGCCCAGTGTATCGGAGTGTGTGTGTGTGTGTGTTTGTGTTTGTGTGTGTGTTTATGCGTCTCTCCATCCTCATAAACCTTGTTCTAATCATGGTTCCTGATGTAAGGCCTTTAGCTGCCCAGGAAAGGTAATACCACTAACTGATCTTGCCGGTTGGAAGGCAGTCACTGGGTTCAGAACGCTCAGTCAAGCCACTGAGCTGAGAGCCTTTATAAATCTGAACACTAATAGCTACTTGCTAGCAATATTTCCCTGATTTAGTGCCCGCTTTGCTTTTTATGACTTAGGGCATTGCTGCCACCACATTTGTAGAGCGACACATAAAAACACAGAGCATCCTAAAGCAAAGAATTTGCCACTGTCTACTCAGGCACTGGAGATAGCCACGTCAGGAGTACTGCTCTGATAGAACTGGCCACCCTGCACTAACTTTTCTCATCCAAAAATTAAGAGCAAAAAGGTAATTTCAAGGCCATTTACTATTGGTGATAGTCTGTAGGCCATAAACCTAAGCAAGAAAGTGACAGTATCTGAAGGACAGAACATAATCTGGTTCAAGATAAGCTTTTCTAAGTTATATATATATATATATATATATATATATATATGACTATATTAAATACATATTCTTGCTATGTGACAGTTGAAAAAAATGCTTAAGAATAGAAATACATATAATTAAGCAATAAGCCCTGAGAGGTTGTGCATTACTGAGAATTTATCAAGAGGAAGAGGAAGGTTCCTAGGCACGAAGCGAAGCATAGTGAAAGAACATTTGGTCACCCATCACTGTATACTGCGGTCACTTCAGGAAAGTTTTAACTTCTTGTTGTATAATAATAAACTCAACAATGTTTAATAACAAAACCTTCACACATACTTCTTGGCCACCATATTACCACCACGAATCTTATTAAGCAACAAACCAAAGGCGCCCCTCATCCTACGCTGGGGATGAATCTTAAATGGCTCCCTGCTCCCTACAAAGTGTACTACAATACTAGGAATTTAATTTCCGGCTCCTTCACCCCAACAGTGCATTATATATGCAACAAACAGCCATTTGGATTCAGCCACATCCATACATGACAACTATTTGGCTGTAGAAGCTAGAATTTTAAAACTTGCATAACACAATATTTGCACAGCACACTCCTCAGTTTGAAATGAACCAGGTTCTTACTTCATCAGTACACTTGGTGGTCCAAACGAGCAACATTACAGTCAAATATTATTCCATTAACAGCACAAGGACTTTCAGTGACGTGGCGTAGTAATACAGAATTCAGCTGCTGTGAGGTGGTCACAGGTCTGCTTATATCGAGTATTTTACAACAGCTTCAGATTTTAGGACCAGAATTATCACTTTTATAATGATCTATTTTTTTAATGTAAAACTGCCCCAGTGCCAGAGAATTTTAAGCCATGTAGTTTGGGTACCCATGTATATTAGAATCCGCAATGTCTAATGTCCACTGGTGAAAATAAGGGCTGTTCTAATAACCACTCTCCAATCAAAAGTCCCCCACCAATCTGCACCTGGCCACCATTAGTGGTTAGTGCCTGCTGGTTTGGAAGTTGCACTATCATCAGGAAATTCCAATGAGGGGAGATGAAGACAGACATAGCCACTGGATTTACACAGCAACACATTTCCTTCATACTTATCTAGGAGCAGGATTCCCTAGCCAGGGAATATACGTTACTCAAAAAGGCCAAAAATCCATTAATAATTATCAACAGCTAATGTAAGTCAGGATTTACATTAGTTGGTGAAAACGGTTTTTAATTAAACTTTTACAATTAAAGTCCATTTAAAATTATATGAAAAATTATATTTCCATCCAAATGTCTTTAAATGTTGCACTACATGACGAACAGAACATCTTGGAAATTATTTAAATTAAGCTGTTTATATAGACAATAAAATCGTGTCCCACAAACCAAATCATTGCTTGCACAAACTCTGGTATAAAGCTATTATGAATGAGAAGGCATATTAAAAAAGACCATACTAACTCACTCCCACTAGCTTTAAACTGTTCTTTCCTTCAATGTTTGTAAATGAGATTACAAAACTAGTGCCAGATTCATGACAAAGGAGGTAATCTTTAACCACTGTCCTCTGCGACTTGGGTAAAAGGGCAGCACCCTGCAGCAACTCATTCATCTCAACATCCGACTCAGTGTTAGTAATGATTACAATTGTACTACTTTTACCAGACAGTTTAAACACTGTAATTGTTTGACAGAGTCTTGTGGACATTATATCACAGGTTAAAGGTATGCAAATATCTACTGCAGCAATTTTGAAGGGTTTAGGCTTCTGCTTTTTAGAGCAAGAAAACTTATTACAGCAACCTCTCTAGCTCAGTGTTATAATACGTTTTAAAAAAGTGATGACTGTGTCAACGAGATCTACAAAACTATAAAATTTCAGCCACACAAACGCTGAACGAAGTTATTACGGTGACTAGGCAATTTTTTTAAAATATAAAACAATTTCTCCCCATAACTACTGCAGCTGCAGGCAAAGCATGTTCTACTTGTTTCTCTTGAGGACAATGGTCACTAACATACCTCTAATAACTCCATGTGGGAGTCACAAACTGTTATTTCCTGTGTGGGGGAACGGGATGTTTCTGCTTAGACTGATGGAGAGATTAGAGAGGAGGTGAGAGGAGGTGAAAGGAGAAAAGAAGAGAGAAGGTGAAAGGAGAGGAGAAAAGAGGAGAGGCACTCACCTTATCTCCACTGGAGTAGAAGAAGTAACGCAGACGCACAATGTTGCAGTGGTCCAACTTCCTCATGATCTGTAGTTCACGGTTCTGCATTGCGAGGGACAGACAGAACCGACATTAAAGCCTAGAAGTCAATACCAATTCTTAACCAATCACTGTAATCCTCTGAGGGCACTTTTCTGTTCTTCAAATATCTTATAATAACAGTCTGTGTTGTACAGACACTGCATGCAACGGGGGCTCTTACATAAATATCAGCAGCAATATGAACTGTGTCCGAATATTGTCTAATTTAGGCAGTCATCCAAGAGCAGCCGACGCAATTTCAACACAAAACTAATGACAGGACGAGTGCCAACTTTATAACAGAGATTATATAAAAGTAGACTCTTTGGACCTGTTGAGAAATGAATAACGTATGTTAAACGTGTTTGAGTGCAGAGATGGTTAAAACAGATTACAGTTTTCAGTAGAAAACAACCACTTAAGAAAATCACTATAATGTACAAGAATGTATAATGAATATGTGAAACATGCTATTTTGAGGAAAGTGGAAATAAAAATGATCTGTCTGGTTGCAGTAGTCAAAACACTTTTTTTTTTTAGGAAATAAACAGTTTAGAAAAAAAAAAATGTTCATTTAATTCTGAGCCACACGAACACACACACACAAACACACACACACACACACACACGCTCTCCATCCGCACCTTAAACCTCTTGTCCTGCAGCACTTTTTTGATTGCCACCAGCTCTCCGGTGTCACAGAGCTTGGCTTGGTAGACCACACCAAAAGAGCCATTTCCGATGACCTTAGTGTCCGTGTAGCTGACCTCCTGAGGCCTGTCTGGACCCTGCCCTGGGGTCGCCCCCACTGTTGTCACCTTACTGCCATCTTTATCTCCTAGAGAGAGAGAGAGAGAGAGAGAGAGAGAGAGCGAGAGAGAGAGAGAGCGAGCGAGAGGGCGAGAGGGCAAGTAAGTAAGTAAATAAACAAATAAATAAGTAAATAAATAAGTCTTTGGCCGTTATTTATCATCGAATATATAAAAAAGTGCAGACTTGAATCTGTTACAGATTACTGATGCATTATAATGATACAGAATGATAATTAATATAGTTCATCATGTAACTAACAATGTGCTGTGAAAATACATTATTTAATTTAAAAAGTATGGCAAACCAGCAATGATTTTAGACTTCTATGGAATTAAATTTGGTCAAATCAGGTTTGTACACGCAATATTTGTCTGAACTCAACAGACCATGCCAGAACTTAAAACCACAACTTAAAGCCACACTGTATTGCTCTAAATGTCCATTTGTCTAGTAAACAACCCCAGTCAGCTGCTAATCAGGTGGAAGTGTTACTACAAGCTTGAGTGCTTTAATGGTGAGGAAAAAATTAAAAATCTCCTGTGTCCTTGAGTCACGCCCACACTCGTTTGGAATTCACACTTCAGTAGCACTTCATTTCGCACCAACTGCTCTGAGCAAGTTTTCTCAGCAAGTGTTTGACAACATGAAAATGGAACACTCAGTGAGGGGAGGAAGACCCCATAAAGAGTTCACACCCAAAAGAGCCAAATGTACGACGGCACCTACAGCAAACATCAAACTCAAGGTACCAAATGCCTACAAGTTGAAACCAAGGTCATATCAGAATAAGGGTGTAATGATTTTGACAGCATTGAAAAATCACTAAAAATAAATGCTCAAAACAGCGTATCGAAATTTACAACTACTGTCGATACTCCTTTGGTCTCTTCCGAGGGTCTCTCATTTACCATCTTTCGTGAAAACCACTGAAACGAGAGCGCTGTATAATCAAAACATTTTTAACACATCAAAACTCAAATCTTGACCTCAGAACTGAAAATCACATCCGACTTGACATTGTGTATTGTTACACTCCTATACGAGGAGTGAGTTTCTTTCAGATGAAGAGTGATCACTTTTTTGATCATTTTATGATCACTTTTTGCTTCTTGCACCTAAAAATGTTGGACACTTCTTGGTAAGATGCTCAGAATTGAAATTATGATCACAGCCAAAATGATAATACCGGGCCAATGAAAACAAACGCTGAACGACAAACACCCCTTGGTTATTATGGTAGTAACATTAGATCATTTCCAGTCACTGAAAAAGAACAACGCAGCATGAAGTTTATTCATTCCTTTTGACCTGATGTCCTACTTTAGCTGAACTTACCAAAATAACGGACGCAGTGACAGAAGCTGATGGGAGCTCATCATGAAGCTCCAGTTGGGACATGGTTGCTCCTAAAGGCCTTGTGGAGCAGAATCAATCTTGAAATGTTGAGAACTATAGTTTTATATTCAGATCACCCTAAATGTAACTGTGTGGGGTTCTCAAAAGACAAATTGAGCTCTTTTGGCAGCACATCCCACAGTGCACAAAACGGCTCTTCACTAAAAAAAAGCACTTCGGAATTACAGTCTGTAATAAATGCATTTGATAGCTCCACAAATGCCCCCTTCTTACGTAAAAAAGAAAGCATGAAAGTTTTACTTACATTTAAATGAATAGCCCTTACCCTTGGCTCTGGAAGCACCAGCGACTCAATGTTTTATTATCATTTGCACTTGCTTCCCTTATTCTCACTTATTTTCACACTCTCACTCTTAGACCAGCTCAACCAGAACTGTACAAATTAGGCATCAGACTCAACCCTACACTTCATTACTGAGCTCATTTGTAAATTTGCTTAAAGCTGACATACATTTTCAACACTCACACAGCACTAATATTTAACAAATTGAGTTAATGTTTAATGGTGGAAATTTGCCAGGCAGTGAAATTTAGCAAACTAACTAAACCAGGTACTAAAACCCAAAAGCTGGAGTTGCGGTATAATCACTTTCATTTTTCAAACCAATGACAGAAATTACACTGCACACTTCAGAACGCAGACAGCTCATTATAACACTCTTGCTGCAGCCCCATCACACAGATTTCATCACAGAAAAATGCCTTAAAGACCTACTAGTTATGCTGCATGAACAATACTTGCTAAGCAACAACATGGACACTTGCACATAAGATCACACTTAACCTGAAGATCAATCAAGCAGGTTAACACCAGGAGAGAGGGAATATTACAGAGGGAATATTCCTATTTTACACTCAGCTTGGTCTACTGGATGAGGCAAAAATGAAGCAAGCAATTCAGTGAGTGACTCAAGACTGCAGACATCATGAACAAGTGGTGAATAACAGAGCTCCAAACCAGTTCGAGGAACTAAAACAAAATCATCCTCAACTGTTCTGGGATAAAAAGCTTCCTTCAAAAGCTCGGTTACTGGTTTATTAACATCTTTTTCTGTTGTTCTGTTTTACCTAGTAGCTTGTTATTTATTTTTTACCACCAAACTCCTAAATGTTTCTGGTACATGATTTCATTGAGATTATTATTTTCAGCTGCTTCATATGGCAGGTATGTAGTATTTTTGTGCTTGAGCTATAGATGCATTCGTTACTCACTACAATAGCTATAATAGACAACAGCTCTCAATGTTCATGTTTTTCTGTGAGAAACCATTTAGCTAGCCAGCATGTGAACGCATTTTTAAACAAGGAATTTGTTTAAACATTGGACTTTGCGGTTGGTGGGCCGCTCAAGTCGCGGGGCACAGGGTTGTCTGGGATTCTCTGCTTTCCCTACTGCTACCGCGACCCCAACTGGATCAAGCAGTTTAAGAAGATGAATGAATAAATTAGTTTACTCTATCGACAATGTAAAATACTGCATTTGGACTTTTACTGATCATAATCTGTGGTAAATGGTGGGCATATCTGTGGACATGTTCTCATCAATTCGAACACAACTGCTGGATCTAACAGCTTAGAGAATAGCCTTTGTAAAAGGAACAGAACTGATCGGTTTTTCATTTTGTTCCAACTCTGCTCTGATCAGAGCGAAGTGATTGTTTTTTTTAAATTCCATTTCTGAGTCCTGGTGAACAAACTAATTGAAGAAAAAGAGGTCAATGCAACAAAAACAATAAATACATAAAGAATTTGCAGAAATAGTTTTAATTCTCTTTTAATATTTTGCAAGCTCATATTTCATTTTTGAATACACTGGTTGTCCAAAAACGGCAACAAAAAAGTCTCTTTTTTCCCCTAATTTTTATTTTCCTACATCATTTGAGCACAGCATGTGCCCTTAACACTGTCATAATTTCATAATGAATGGACCGGATCAAGCTTCAAAACTACCCGGAATAAAATATCTCTACAATAAATTACATTAAAATCAAAAAAACGCTTTCACTCTCTCCTGTAAAGTTACCATTTTGGGGATGGTTGTTTTTGTTTTCAGACATCCAAAAGTTCTTCTTTGACCTTTTTAACTGTTGTTGATGCTGCTAAAACTAAAGAAAACTGATGAATAAAGTCTTCCTAATTCTCAGCTATAATTATTCTCTAAAAAACACAGCCCAATAAACCCAAAAAGGTTAACCATCTGCAATCTGTGGATGGTTAATCATCACAATTTTCATACACCACTTCTTTATCACCGTATTCAGAATCACTAGGTTGAGGACAACCAGAAAAATGTAATTTAAGAAGCCTGACGCAGCCTGAGGACTTCGTTTGGGTGACATATTTGATTTTTAACGCAGCAATATTCTCCTTAGCAGAAATAGGTGGATATGTAATACCACTGCCTTAACAGGAACTCAATATGTTTGTGTACCTCTTTCTTAAAGACGAAGCTACTACAGAACTATTTCACTGTGGCGAACAGTAAAATCTGAAGCAAGACTTCTATAATTAGCATACTTTATTGTGTCAAAAGTAAAGTGTGCTGGACGGATCGTAATGCAAGCTAAGGTTTTTTCAGTTCCCATTTTGCATCACAGTAGTGCCTGAAGCGTATATTTCTATGTCTGTTAACACGGCAGCAGAATATTGGCAAATACCTACACAAGCATCCTGGAACTTTCGGTAATGTTTGGCAAATGCGTTGAGGAGTAAAAGACTGCTAGTGCTACCATTTGATGTGTGCAAAGCCAATAACACCACATAAAATCAGCAGACATCAAGCACAGCTTAAAGTCACAGCTGACACATCATTTATGCTTCAACAAAGACTCCAGGGAAACATACAAGCTATAAAGACCCTGAAAGGCCAAAATGGGGAAAAAAATAAAGAGCAAACTGATCTCAGCCTAAAAAGGCTGATTTCCACTATTCAATAAATTATATACAAAGGTGCCAAGATCCATTAATGTCGATGTGACCCAGTGAAACCACACCGTCCCTCTCCTAGTTTTAAAATGGTCTGATAATTATTAGGAAAAACTTAAATGCGTTCAAGACTTCGTAAATCCTATAGTTAAGACTTTGAGGCCATTCAGGATACGTTTCCATTTTATCAATTTTGACAAACAAGCGCTTCTTGCAACTAAACAATATCTCTGTGGTGCCTCAATAGCCTCAATTTCTACTTCGAGTTCATCTGCCATCAGTTAGATATATAACTGTATTTTTATAAAATCATTTACCTTATTTTCACCATAAATATATTCTAATTTTATTTTTAAGGGGCACAACTTTGTGGGAGTAGAGCAAAAGGCTTTTGTAAGGTTTTTAATTGAATTTCACATGAAAGAGGTCTGTTAAAACGGAAGGGAAAGGGAAGGGATAAACTGAAACTACAGTGACTGCCAATCATGAAAGATGGAAAGACTTTTAGGTCCCTGAGGACTGAGATGGGTGTGAGTAAGCGCGCTTGTGATACATTATCATACTTTTTACCCCCTCCTCTACCCCCAGAGTGAAGTAAGAGGTCATTCGTCATTGCCACTTAGAGGAGCTGCTCACACAAAGAGAATGCTTCCACTTCACATTCCCAATGACTGACACACACAT